CCATCATCAGCAGCAGCATCAGTAGCATCGGCATCACCAACAGTATCATCATCAGCAGCATCATCATCAGCAGCAGCAACAACATCATCATCAGCATCAGCAGCATCATCATTATCAGCAGCAACATCATCATGGTCATCATCATAATCAGCAGCAGCATCATAATCATAATGATCAGCAGCAGCAGCATCAGCATCAGCCTCATCAGCATCAATATCACCATCATCATCAACATCAGCACCATGACCATCATCAGCATCATGAGCATCACCATCGATATCACAATCCTCGTCCTCATCAGCATCAGAAGTATCAGCAGCAGCAGCAGCATCAGCATCAGCATCAGCATCAGCATCATCATCATCATCATCATCATCATCATCAGTATGATCATCAAAATCGTCATCATCAGCATCGTCATCAGTATTATCCTCATCATCGTCATCATCAGCAACAGCATCTTAATCGTCGTCATCATCGTTTTCATCATCACCATCACCATCATCATGAATATACTCCTCATACGTAATCAGCATCATCAAGATAACCATCACCACCACCATCACCATCACTATGGCGGTGGCGATACAGATAGCGATGGCGACGGCGATGCTCGATGGTAATGGTGAGAGATGGTGGTGCTGACGGTTATGAATTGGAGGAGAAGGAGGAGGAGGAGGAGGATGAGGAGGAGGAGGAAGAGGAGAAAGAGGAGGAGGAGGAGGAGGAGGAGGAGGAGGAGGAGAGGAGGAGGAGGAGGAGGAAGAGGAGGAGGAGGGGGGCGAAGACGTTGACGAAAACAACGAGCAGGACAAAAAGGACGAGAAGGAGCAGCGGCAGCAGCAGCGAGCACTGAGAGCACCCAGCGCCTCGAGCGCAGGGCCCTCCCGGCATCCAGCTCCAGCGGCCGCGCGGCGGGAGCAGCCTCCCAAGGCCAGGAGGGACACCCCCTCTTGCTCCTGCTCCTGCTCCTGCTCCTGCTCCTGCTCCTGCTCCTCCTCCTCCTCCTCCTCCTCCTCCTGCTCCTCCTCCGCCTCCTCCTCCTCCTTTTCCTCCTCCTCCTCCTGCTCCACCTCCTCCTCCCTCTCCTCCTCCTCCTCCTCCTCCTCAGCTCCTTCTCTCCCTCCTCTTCCTCCTCCTCCTCCGCCTCATCCTCCGCCTCCTCCTCCGCCTCCTCCTCCTCTGTCTTCGTCTTATATTTCTTTTTATTCTGAATACCAGTATTACTCTTATTAGTCTTAGTATTATTCGTCTTGATATTTTGCTTATGCTTCTTATTCTTAGTCTTATTAGTATGATTATTAGTATTATTCGTCTTCGTATTAGTATTGTTATTCCTCTTCTTCGTATTACTATTATTGTTATTAGTAGTAGTAGTAGTAGTAGTAGTAGTAGTAGTCGTACCCTTATTAATATTATGCATATTCCTCTTCTTATTCCTCTTCCTCTTCAGGTTCCTCTTCCTCTTCCTCTTCTTCTTATTATTCTTATTAATCTGATTAATATTATTATGGCTATCATTAATAGTACCATTACTAATACTAGTATTATCATTATTATTATTCATATTGGTAATAATATTCTTATTAGTAGTAGTAGTAGCATGATTAGTATTAGTATTCGTATTCGTATTAGTACTATTAGTAGTAGTAGCCGTAGTAGTAGTAGTAGTAGTAGTAGTAGTAGTAGTAGTAGTAGTAGTAGTAGTAGTAGTAGTAGTAGTAGTAGTAGTAGTAGTAGTATGACTATTACGATTGTTATTATTACTATTATTATTAATAATATTAGTATTCCTCTTCCTCTTCCTCCTTCTCCTCCTCCTTCTCCTCCTCCTCCTCCGCCTCCGCCTCCGCCTCCACCTCCGCCTCCGCCTACGCCTCCGCCTCGGCCTCCGCCTCCGCCCTCTCCTCCTCCTCCTCCTCCTCCTCCTCCTCCTCCTCTCCTCCTCCTCATCCTCATCCTATCTGCTCCTCTCCTCCCTCCCTTTCCGCCTCCGCCTCCGCCTCCGCCTTCGCCTCCTCCTCCTCCTCCTCCTCCTCCGCCTCCTCCTTCGCCTCCTCCTCCGCCCCCCCCATCCCTCCTCGTCCTCCTCCTCCTCCTCCTTCTCCTCCTCCTCACTCTTCTCCTCCTTCTCCTCCTCCTCCTCCTCCTCCTACATTCCTTTTCCTAGAAATAGCTTGTCCCCGTCGGAACCCCGAGGCCAGTTGTTCGAGCGGGTTGTGCGATTCGCCTGAAATTTCCTTACAAATTATGACCCTGAAGTTAGAACATTGGCACCATTTTCGCAGATGGAGGGCGGGTCGTTTTCAAAATGTGGCTCTCGCCCAAGCGCCGCGCACATTCGCTCTGAACATTGCAAGAGCTTCACGGATTGGGGATCACCCGTATTCAGAATGTGGCTCTCGCCTTAGCGCCGCGCACATTCGTTCTAGAAAACTGCAAGCTTCACTGATTGAGGATCACCTATATTCAAAATGTGGCTCTCGCCTTAGCTCCGAGCACATTCGTTCTAGAAAATGGCAAGAGCTTCACGGATTGAGGGTGGTTCCTTTTCAAAATGTGGCTCTCGCCTTAGCGCCGCGCACATTCGTTCATACGATTCGCAAGAGTTTCACGGAATCCCACGATCAACGTACCAGACATGGCGCTTTGGAAGGATTCTGGATCTTGCGGGTGCACCAGTTACGTTGATTGCGGCGTTGAAATCCCAAGATTGGCGTTCTAGCAAGATCCAGGATCGTCAAGACTGGGGGAACAAAAAGTGACACAAACATCACAACTCGGAAATCCGCGCGGATTTCTCGATCGGCGCTGGGCCCCCCGGCGGCGCCGCGGCCGCCCAGGGCGCGCTCCGCGCGCCAGGAAAGGGGGTTCCAGCGCCGGTCCGAGAACCGCGCGGACCTCCGAGTTTTTATGTTTATGTGACTTTTTGTTCCCATAAAGACGCAACAGTCAGGTTGATCCGAGGCGTTGGAATCCCGAGAGCAATGTTTTAGCATCCTTCCGGGTCTTCAAACGATTGCCTTCCAACGAAGCAGATCCCAAAATGGAAATGAACCGTTGCAGGGGCCTCTGAGGAGGGAGCTTGGAGGGAGGGTGTATTCCAACATCGTTGATGGCTCTTGGGTTTATTCTGGTCTTCCTCCTGCTCCTCCTCCTCCTCCTCCTCCTCCTCCTCTTCCTCCTCCTCCTCTTCCTCCTCCTGCTCCTCCTCCTCCTCCTCCTACTCCTCCTGCCTCCCCCATCAGATTCCTCCTCCTCTCATTATTATTCTGATTACAATAGAAGTATTATTCTTATGATTGCTATTATTGTTAACAATCTTCTTAACATTAATATTAGTATTCTTTGTCATGTCATGAATAGTACTAGTAAGAGATTTGTTATTATTATGACTATTATCACTACTATTATTACTTTATTACTACTTCGTTTGATTATTATTGGCAGAACCAATATTATTGATATTCATACGGAATCTATGTTGTTAGTAGTATTATTATTGGTGATAGTCGTAGTCGTATTCGTCTTCGTCTTCGTTTTCGTGCTCGTCTTCGTGTGCGTCTTCGTCTTCGTCTTCGTCTTCGTCTTCGTCTTCGTCTTCCTCCTCCTCCGCCGCCGCCGCCTCCGCCTCCGCCTCCTCCGCCTCCTCCTCCTCCGCCTCCTCCTCCTCCTCCTTCTCCTCCTCCTCCTCCTCCTCCTCTTCCTCCTCCTCCTTTCTCCCTCCCTCTCTCTTTCCCTGGGAGGAAGGAGAAACACTGCGTAACATCACGGATGAATGACAACGGAAGTCAGAGCAACAGCAACGACGAACTTGCCTCAAAGCCTGGGCCACAGGGCTCAGGCGGCGAGTTGCCTTACGGGAGGAAGGAGGAGGAGGAGGAGGAGGAGGAGGAGGAGGAGGAGGAGGAGAGGGAGGATAATGAAAAGGAGGTGAGGAGGTAGAGAAGGAAGGAGGAGGAGGAGGAGAAGGAGGAGGAGGAGGAGGAGGAGGGAGGCGGGAGGAGGACCACCCCTTCCTCTGCATCGCCGACTCGTCTGGACCGCCCGACCTCGGGGTTCGCGGCTCGCCCCGCCCGCCCGCGCGGAGCGAGGTCCGCAGGCCCAGCCCGCTCCGCAGGTCCAAGCTGGAGGTCCGCCCGCCCGCCAGGCCCGCCCGCACCAGGGGCCGCCCGAGCCAGGGGCCGCCCGAGCCAGGGGCCGCCCGAGCCAGGCGCCGCCCGATGGGCCCCGCCCGCTTCGGTCAAGGCCCGCCCGACCCGACCTCCTCCTCCTCCTCCTCCTCCTCCTCCTCCTCCTCCTCCTCCTCCTCCTCCTCCTCCATCCTCCTCCTCCGCCTCCTCCGCCTCCTCCCCTCCTCCTCCTCCTCCCTCCTCCTCCTCCTCCTCCTCCTTCCGCCTCCTCCCTCCTCCTCCTCCGCCTCCTCCTCCTCCTCTCCTCCTCCTCCTCCTCCTCTCCTCCCCCGCCCCGCCCTCCCGCCCGACCCGACCCGACCCGACCCTCCTCTCCTCCTCCTCCTCCTCCTCCTCCTCCTCCTCCTCCTCCTCCTCCGCCTCCTCCGCCTCCTCCTCCTCCTCTCCTCCTCCTCCTCCGCCTCCTCCTCCTCCTCCTCCTCCTCCGCCTCCTCCTCCTCCTTCTCCGCCTCCTCCTCCTCCTCCTCCTCTCCTCCTCCTCCTCCCCCGCCCCGCCCGCCCGACCCGACCCGACCCGTGAAGAAGAGCAGCAGCAGGAACAGCAGGAGGTGCGCGCAGTGATCTTTCAGGAGCGAGCTGAGGCACGGCCTGCCGAGATGTCCCACGAGAGGTCAGCGCCAAGCCCGAGGCGGCACAGGCAACCGTGAACGGCAGGGGAGAGTCTAAATCCGCCAACCCGTGTCGGCGTGCGCGAGAGCCTGGGACGGCCGCGTCAACCCGAAGGGGCAGCGCCAATCACCCTAGGCGCACGCCAATATGAGGGAAATCCCGGCTGGGGGGGGGGCGGGGTCTCCAGGGCGGGGGTAG